CTTGGAGAATGTGATGTAAACGTGTATGAAAGAACCTAGAAGAGGTTAAGACAAAAGTAAGTGTTAGCCATCATCATAGTAAACACACATGATGCGCTTACATCAAATAATGTAAGCAATCAGTAATAATTAGTAATGACACTAATGCGAAATCAAAACATACTAACAAATGAGACGAAATTTATCTTAGTAAGGTTTCCAATACATAAACAGACATAATATTACATAATATACAAACCAATCAATCAGAAGCAGTAAATTAACTAAACATTAGAATTATTTACACAAATATTAAAGATTAAAGTTATGTGACTTAAATTGAGAAACACCAGTAGAAATGTTCTTGTGATTTACTAGAAACCGATAGACTCTAGGTTATTTATAAGTATGTGGCTGTTATGGTGACAGTTTCAAATGGTTAATACGATAATCCAAGCAAGATTCCTGCAGACAATGGATGGAGTAGTTATCACTACTGATCACAAAGTTGGATATAGTTAGTCGCTTGTTAAGAGGGGTCGATTCGGTTCATAAACATTTGATTCCACTGACTTGATGTTATATAACTTCTGTAGTCATTTTGGTTCTAAGAATATCTTTTATTAAGGAGAAACTCAGGGTTTGGCCTCTGGGGATCTTCTTTTGTAAGAGAATACTTTATAGTTCTCTGGTCCACAGGATTTTAGTGCTGATAATTCGCAAAAAATACAGCAATTGAGTTGTACTTACAAAGACTATAAGTAATGATCGATAATGGTCACCAAATTATTAACAGATTTACATAGATTGTTTAAAAGCAAAAACTAAAAAGAGAAAACTCTGATAAAGTAAACTTTCTAACTAGATTTCAGACTACGGTTTGTTAGCTGTTGAAATATTCAAAGCGTCGAACATACAGTTTCAATAAATTCTTGTTACAGCAGAATATGAGTAATATATACTTGAATCTAAATGAAATTCATCTGTGATATACTGTGGGAACACTTGACCCATTTGTGATATTTATTTGTGTTTCCTTGTAAACATTAACAATAATAAAACAAATATTCATGAAGTTCATGTAGCCAACAATGTTTATATTCAACCTTAAATTGATGAGTTCAAAAATATCCATATAACTACTTCATCAATTCATGGAAGAATACAAACAGATAAACTCTTAAGCATAATTAATTGACTAATGATTGTTTCATAACAAAGAAGTAAGCTCTTTCCAATAGTAGTAAATAAGTTTTCGTTACAATACATAATAGTCCAGGATTCAGTTATTGTAATAATTAAGAACCTGGAGTAAACGGTTATCTTAACGTTTCTTACTTTTCTGCAAATCTGCAGTTAATGTTGGCTCATGTGAAGTATCAATGTTATGGTAAACTTTTTTATGTCTTACATGAAATATTGATCTTAGATAACCTTTAAAAACCAGTAAGCACTGAACAGCTTTTTCGTTCTAGTATAAGACTACCTAGTCGATCTCATTGTAAATACTAAACCTTTAGACCATAAAGTCGGTACCAAATGGTTCAAATTTCTAGCCTCAACTAATTTCACCGTTGGTTTTAGTGAAATCTGTTTATAAAAATGGATATCTCTTAGTATACTTTAGATTTTTAGATCTTCTAAAAATTGACACAATCATGGAAAATCATCCAAAATACAGTCACGTACTAAGAAATTTTTTTATAAATTCCAATCTGACTAGTCTCAGAAGGAGTCATCAGATCCATCGATTAATATTCATTAAAATCCTGTTGAAACTATCAGTATAGATTTGATATTAAGGACAGTAATTGACATTAGAAACAACAGGTATTCGGTATAAATTTTATTGTAAATATCTACACTACTGGAATCCACTATTAGTCACATATCCATCAACATGAATAAATTTATTATTCGTACTCATCCCCATATCGATGTACACTTTTTCACAGATTATCCACTTTATATTCATTCAATAATATTAGTAGTTTTAAAAATGATGTAATCCATCACTATTCAGATGAATGTAAAAGCCAATAAGTTATGCAGTGATTACTCTTACAATAACAACGGGCCCTAGTATTTACACTATCTGTAGTTCGAATTCAAGTTTGAACATGGTTTTATCCATAAGTAATTTGTTCGTCAGTATGTTATGTTTCCATATATTTGGGCAAATAAAGTGTGTACCTAAACATATTGAGCAAATATTTCGATAATACTTAAACCAGTTAATAGTTTTGAAATTTATTTTTCAAACCCTCAAAGTTTTTCATATGGGTAGAGAGGAAATCTACGGTCATTTTAATATCACAGCCCTATTTGATAGATCCCTCATTGCGGGTAATTTTAGTGATTTCACAAAGCAGCTTCAAGGTACCCAATTCAAATTTAGGCATATTTTCCTGCATTATTTTATATAATAAGATTATTTTACAGACTAAACTATTTTTCATAGATATTTGTAGTGAACTATTTCATTGATATAGTGGAGTTCTGTGTAAATTATGTAATTTCCATGAAATAAATCATGAGTTAGTTGGACATTTACATCATTGGATGTCGGTAAGTCGATCTTGTAGTTAGACGTTTGAGTGTGAAATCGAAAGTCATGTGTTCGATTCTCAGCAAAGTCGTGGGTGCACAGTATTGATGAGTCCCTTACGTAACAGCCACTCAGTGCTTCATGGATTTCAATAATGCTCAATTAGTGATTTAAACTCTTTTATTCATGGTTGTAATACCATATTTCAAAATAGCGATGATAATAATAGCTGAAAATTCCATCAAATCGACTTCTACAAAGTGTCTGTTTTTGTGAGTTTATTCATTAATTCGATAGTAGTATTGACTTAATTATGTAACGGGTTTTTTGTTTAATAATTATTTAATGGTTGGATTCATGAGTCGACTTAAGCTAGACAACCTTGGAAAACCTAGAAGCACTAAACGACCGTTTCGTTCTACTGTGGGACTTCTGACCTGTGAGCATTCACGAAACGGTCGTCCAGTACTTACAAGTTTTACAAGGTGGTCTAGCTTAAATCAACTTATGAATCCCACCATTAAATTACTACAATTTCCACAAACCCTTATTCTGACAATAATGATTATTTCTAAGAAAAAGATGGATAGTAGCTAGCAGTGGAATCCAGGACGCGTGTTTCGTCCTATTTGGGACTCGTCAGTTGGATGTACTGCATTTCAGAGTTGATGTTCACTCTGGGAGTCATTTGCCAATAACAGAGTGATCAATTGCAGTCTTAAACCCCAATCAGAAGAATCAAGCAGAACAATACCAAGTGAATAAGTATTTTCAGAAGGGGTTTTGTGGAGATTTTAGTAATTTCAATAGTTGAAATCATGAGTCAATTCAAGCTAGATCACCATGAAAAACCTGGAAGCCGTGACCAGTGGAGTTCAACCAGACCTGTTGTGAGATAGTAACTCACTGAAGACAATGGTGTACGGTGCCGCAACTTCGTGGATTGGTTGAGGTTAGACATTAACACCTTCGGATGTCGGCTCAGTGGTGTAGTGATTAGGCACTCGTGCGCGGGACTGATAAGTCCTGGGTTCGAACATCGCTGGGGGCGGGATCGTGGATGTGTACTGCTGGGGAGTCCCATACTAGGACGAAACTGCCGTCCAGTGCTTCCAGCTTTTTTATGGAGATCTAGCTTCAATTGACTCATGATTTCAACTATTGGAATAATTATTTCTTTAAAAAAAGAATATCATTCCATTTGTGTAGTCCTAGTAACGCATCATTATTTATAATTTAACCAACCAAAATACTTTTTCCATAAGAATGTACACATTAATCACATAAACACCGACTTTAAAAATGTATCAAGAATTTTTCCTAAAACGTTTCCACAAATAGTAACAGTAATCATTGTAATACAGATTATATCTTCAATTCTTTTGAACTTGTATGCCTAACTATGTAGGTATGTATGGTTTATATGATAAGTATGTACAAATTTTATTATTGACTATAAAAACACTTCCCACCGTTTTCAAATGAATCGCAAAATTACTCGTCATTCTTAAGAATATGTCTAGTCTTACACAATGAATATATATGTGCACATACATACATATACTTACTAGTACTATAACAACTACTATTGCATTTACTATCTCAGGGGATAGAGGGGTCTGAATAGTTATAGATTTAAAAATTTAAGACATTAAATGTAGCTTCAAAGTAATAAGGTCATTATGTGTCTAGCCGATCGCAATATAAATGTTATGTACACTTAAACTTCATATAAAACACGTTGAATTAAGTAAGTAATATCTATATTTCTATACAAATATACATACGTGAAAAATACTTAAACCATTAGGTATACAACTATTCACTGTGGACATGCAGTATAATCATTTTTCATACATGTCAAGGGTAGACAATTTATGTATTATTATTACTACCATTACATCGACTTCTCTGTATGATGGAACAGAAAGAAAAAAAAGCCAGAGAGAAATTGTAGTGGGTGGGTGGGTGGTGATATCAAGACAGGCTTGTTTATTTAGTGTACATATAGATATAGTATTAAATTAGATAGGACGAGAATTATAGAGGTGAGGGTAGAGAGATCATTACTTTAGTGTAGAGAAGACTGAATTTATTGTCATGATATTTCAAGCATTTATATAATATATAGATAGATAGATATGAAATATATAAATATATTCTAATGTATTCGATGTACACATTGTTATAATATAATCGACAATTCGTTATTCCACCCCTCCAGAGTAATAACTGTGATCGAACAAGATTCTTTTGAATTCATTACACATATATATATATTGCATACTGTGAGGATCAACTATTATTTACTCCTTTGTAGCAATAATCAGTGATTGGTTATACAATCTATACAATTTATGATTAATGATTGGATTTTATTAATTAAATGATTATTACATAAATAAATAAATATTCATTCTATAAAAAGATAATTCATAATTAAGACAATTACTTTCTAAAAAAAAGAAGGAACATGAATGAAAATACTCAGTTCAATACTACTCAAAGATTGAATAAAATAAGTAGTGAATTATTATCTCATGAAGATGACGATAAATATGATAGTTTACAGAAATTTTCATGTGAAACTTCATTATCATGTTCATCCCCATCAGTATCATTAACAATATCAATGTCTTCACCATTAAAGATAACTACATCTAAGCCAATGTCTACAACTGTTACAACGACAACCATGAACAATTCACCTAAATCATCATCATCTTCATCATCATCATTATCACCATCATCATCATCGATGTTTAGTTCTATGAATTCGTTGAAACGTGCACGTTTTGATTCAAATCAAACAAATAATAATAATATTGATAACAAATCTTTTTTACCTAATCAATTTACATGTCCATGTGGTCGAACAATGTTAAATTCAAGTGAATTTATGGAGCATGCATGTCAATGTCATGAATTTATGATGACTGCATCAAATTTCGCTGAAGTTATAGCTAAGAATACAGCAATGGTTATGTCGTCCGAATGGAATAAATGTTTTCAATCAGCAAATTTAAATAATTTGCCAATGAACAGCGTTCGCAATAATAATAATAATAGTAATAATAATAATAATAATGACAATGATGTTTTAGTTAAAAACAATGCAAACAACAAAGGGAATTCAAGTTTATTCCAATCAGCATTAGACTTATCATTTCGTTCAAATGAAATTCCCTCTTCATGCGTATCCTCCACATCGTCACCATCAATAATGTCATCCTTAAATATTTATAATAATAGTAGTAATAATAATAGACACGTATCATCGCATGTCAGTTGTCCAAGATGTCCTTTCACAAGTACAGATATATCAGTTTTATGTAAACATTTTGAATTGGAACATGATAACATTAGTCAATTTACATGCTCTAAATGTAATGAATCATATGATCAACTAATATATTATTTAAAGCATCAATTATTTGATAATTGCTTAAATTCATCCGATTGTTTTGATCGATTCCCTTCACCTACTACTATTACTAATACTAATCCTATCATTACTACTGACACATCATTATCGTTGAAGACAATGATAACATCAACGAATACCGATAGTATGATGTCATCCAGTGATACTCCTAATTATTATTCAATAAAAAATAATCAGGATCACGAAAAAGATCACCTTCATTATCAATCCCAACAACAACAATATCAAAATAGCCATCGTCAACGTTATAATCATTTAAAACAAATGCATCATCTTCCAAGAAATCATTCGTCATCATCATCACCAACATCATCTCCGTCAAGAGTACGTTCTCTCAATGATCAATATTATGATGTTTCTATGTTAGATAAAAAATTAGTATGTAATGCATGCCATCAAACTGGTTTTCAACATACTGGTGAATTAATTAATCACTTAACTGAATGTCCAAAATTTATATCGTTTACTGGAAATATTGGCAATATTATTGGAAGCACCATAACTAGTGAAAGTAATACTACTAATACAACTGCTACTAATATTACTGATATCATTAATCATAGTAATAGTAATAATATGAATTCTTTAAATTTACATATGAAAAATACACAAACACCTTCGACAATTAACCAATCACAACAGTATAATCATGGTACATGCGTATCCCCATTATTGAATGGATTAATTAATAATTCAACATTTGATTTTGAGAAAAATTTCAATGATTTATTAAAATCATCATGTGGATCATCAACATTTCATAATTACTTGACTACTACTAACACTACTACTACTACTAATAATAATCACTTTTCGTCGTCAAGTCGTTTTCCATGTAATTCAACTCTTTCTGATAATAATGACAATAATAAAAATTATAATCATAAAAATGTCAATTTATGTTCACCATACTCATCACATGGTATAAATTCACAAAATTCCTATTCACATTTCCTATCAAATCTACAATCTCTTGGCAAATCATACTACAATGATACAACAAAATCTTCATCAACAACATTATCATTGGATAGTTCAATAGATTCTCCAATGATTGAATTAAATCTTAATAATAATGATACTTACAATTGTACTACATCTGTAAATTCATTACATATGAGTGAATTCAATACAACTCAACATATTAATAATCATCCAGCACCTCTTTATCATGGTCGTATAGAAGAATTAAAAATTGATCATCATCATGACCAACATCATCGACAATCACATCAATCGCAGCAGAATAATTCAATGAATAACTTACCACCACCATCAACAATAACAACATCCATTGAAAATATAACAGATCTATCAAGACCATTTAAATGTTGTCATTGTATTAAAGCGTTCAAATCAAAAGCATTATTAGATCAACATATGCATATACATTATCCACCAAAATATACATGTCGTTATTGTTCTAAAAAATATCGTTGGCCACCAGTATTTTATCATCATCAGCGTACATGTAAAAAACGACCTACAACATCAACTGCATGTACAAATAATGATATAAATAATACTACAATAACTGTAACAATGTCAACAAATACTACTCATAATAATCAACATAATAGTAATAATAGTTCAATGAAACGTAATCATCACCATCATCATAATAATAATCTTAATTATTCAGATATTAGAAAAAATTTCCCAATTACATCAGATTCGCTTACAAGTTTACGTTCAATAAATTCACAAATGAATGATACATTCTATAATAGTTTAACATCATTAAGAAATTCCAACGGTAATCTAAATGGGAATGAAACACTTTCATCATATGGACATTCTTTGTGTTTACCTCCATTTAATTCAAATTCATCAACAAGTTTAATGGAACTGTCTAACAATTCAAATATATTTCATAATAACAGTAATGCTAATAATCATGACGATGATGCAACTTTAATGCCACCACCACATTTAAATAATTTTACCGCGTTAGCAGCTGCTGCTGCAGCGGCAGCAGCAATGAGTATGCATTTTCAAATCCCACCATTTTCAAATATACCACCGCCTCCTTTAGGATTTACTAATTCTCTCACGTCATCTTCAACAGCTACAACAACGGCAACTTCGTTGACGATGGTATCACCTTATCATCATCCAATTAATACACCATCACCTTCAATATCACTCCCGTCTTTACCGACATCATCATCTACACGACTTCAGTTCGGTTCCGATTTATTTAATCAGTCATTGTCATCATTTTCATCAATCAATCGTTCAAATTTATTGCCACCATTTACAAATCAATCAATTTTTCAATCATCACATTTTGCACCATCGTTATTAATGCCAAACTCAAATGAATCAATTGATTGTAACTACTTGCCTGAACCTTCTTCTTTCCAGCCAGAGTTAAATTTTCCATTCAATAGTGTTTTGTCATCAATTGCTTCAAAACTAACTACTCCGGCATCATCATCACCAATGTCAAGTTTATCTTCGCCAACAAATAATAATCATGTTATAGATGCCTCCAATTCACAAGTCAATATGTTAAATAATCTATTATGTGTATGTGGAGTGCGCTTTAATGAAATATCGAGTTATATATCTCATATATCTAGTTGTAATTTTTTAAAAAATTTAGTACTACAGTCATTTTCAAGTACTTTAAGTCAATCTGAATTCCCAGTTCTACCAACAACCACAACAGTAACAACATTGTTATCATCTCCTTCATCATCATTATCATCACCATCACCGCCAATGATGACATCGTACAAACAAACATCATCACTTTTTCCATTTGATACTACAGTTATTTCAAATAAATTTCATCATCAAGATGATGCACAAAATGATGATACTCATCATGAACAATCAGAAAAATGTAAAAATTCAATCGCTAACAATCTAATGACTTCAAATGATAATTATAATTCATTGAATGAAACAAACATTCAACAAGAATCAATAAAACATGAAGAAAAAATCAATGAAGAAACTAATTATAATGAAATTAGTACTTTTGTTCAAGTAGATCATTTGAATTCTTCAAAGAACAATAATGAAACGGATCAATTACATAAAAATAATTTTGATTTAAAGGAATCCCCAAATGAACCAAACAGAAGCCCATTAAATTCATTATATCAAATTGAAAATAATCTACTATCAGATAGACAAATAACTATAAACTCTTCGAATAATTCATTCATAACAACAATGGTTAATGTTTTAACGAATACTTCAAGTATGACTGGTAATCAATGTCCTGAATTACAAGATTCACCATGTCAAATTTCAAAAAATCACTTAAATTCTCCTTCACAAACATCATCATTTCAAATATCTTCAAGTCCTACAATTGATGTTATTGATAGTGATCGATTAGATTATCATTCTCAATCAAATAATTCTAATAATAGTCCAGAGAATATCAATTCTATATCTACAACAATATCAACATTAGTTAATTCACCAAAATCATGTTATCATTGTGGTAAAGAATTTAGTTCTCGTTTATCACTTAAACAACATGTAGAAGGTAAACATAGTACTGAAGGAAAATATCGTTGTCCTGGCTGTTCAAAACGTTATCGTTGGGGTGCATCATATTATTATCATAAAAAATCATGCCCAGCTGTTAGAGAACAAAGTCCAGTGCCAAGTGATATAGTAAATCAATTATCATTATCTGGTTCCGAAGATAATTCGTCTTTGTCATCCATAAATTCTCCTATTTCACCATCTAAAATTAAATCAACTGAAGAATATAATTTTGAAGAGAAATATATAGAGGGAGTAGAAGAAGAAAAAGGAGAGGAGGATAAAAATTCTGGTGATAATGATTATGATAATGATCCACATATCGAAGATGATGAGAATGAGAATGAGAAAAAAGAGGAACGGGAGGATGAATTCAAACATGATTCGAATAGTTCTTTCAAACTTTGTATTTCCCATAAAAAGTATTTACGATCTTCGTCTAGAAATAGTGATCTCAGAAGAAATTCTATGAAAGAATCACACTCTAATAAAAATGATAATACATCATCTATCCAATCGAAATTTATTAAACATCAAATACAAAGTAAACAAATTTGTCAAACTATTAAAGAAGACTCATTAATTTGTGATATAAATGCATTTCCCGTAAGTATTATAATCCATTATCCCCCTTTTTTTATAAGGGATATAATCATTTTAATCATATGTAAAGTATTATTGGTTTTACATGACGAACTGATTTAAATTAGATGGTTGGTGAAACTCAGGGGTTCCTAGACAACTGAGTAAGAGAAGTCTTTAAAAGTAGTCATTCATAACCTCACCACAGATTGAACTGAGGATATTCAAACTTTACGATGAGTTATTAAGCTTTAAATTGTTGAGTTGATGTTAAGTCTTTAAATATAAGCTTCGCACAAAGGTAGTAGACATATTATAGACTACCTAAAATAAAATATGTACAGAGAAAATTAAACCTAGGTAGTGATGATTGAGGATTGAAACCTCACATTACCAATTTAAATACTTACTGTCATAAATACAAAAGCTACATTATTAAGTATAAATCTATTCACCGAAAACAAAGGCATTTGTTAGTCACGAAAATGAACTAGTATCGTGTGAAGTTAAATGTTTCTTCGGTTTAAATCATTGGTGAAAAGAACTGATTTACTTAATTTACTTTTACTTACGCCTGTTACCTCCCCCTCTCCAATGGAGTATAGGCCACTGACCAGCATTCTCCGACCTACACCTTATTTACTGACTGTATGTAAAATAGAATAATCACTTAATTCTAGACATCAGTCAAAGTTTGTTTGCATTTGTGTTTTGAATAAAAAGTAAAACTTTATAAGATTAACAATTAAGTGATGATTTATATCCACTTGCTACTTACATAAGTTTCTAGTCTTATTAAACTCATGAACTGATCTAAATTAGACAATTAGCGAGAATCTGAAGGCACAGGACGGCCGTTTCATCCTAGTATGGTGATTTAGTTTCAATTAGCTCATGAATTCAACAATTAAATTATTATAATATCCACAAAACCCCTCTCTAACTTACATAATTTTCTAGTCTTATTGAACTTATGAACCGATCTAAATTAGACCATTATTAGGAACCTGGAATCACTAAACAACCATTTCATTCTAGTATGTGACTCCTAGACATTGTAAATCCATGATCCTTCATCAACTAATAAACAGTGAATAAATCTCAATCATACTAGCAACCTAAATTATTGAGAAAAAAAGGGAAGAAAATTCACTACTTTATGATTAAGTTGTAAAAAGCACATTGTTTAATGTTCAACAAGGAAATATTATTGAACATTTTCATTTTCATTTAATGCCCAACAGAAGAGTATAATTTTCACTAGATATTGCATATATCAATATGGGATTATTGAGATTGTTAAGTTTTTGATTATGATCATGAACTGATTAGTGTTAGATCATCATTGAAAATCTGAAAGCACTGAACGGCTGTTTCATTCTATAATGAACATTAAGAATAGGATATATTACAAATTCATAAAGCACATATCTTATACCTTGTATAATAAAAGAACAATAAAAAAATTTAGTTCTCCTTCTGTCTCCAGTTAAATATAGATAAATTCTCCTTTGAACACATTGTTCACTATGATATTGTTACTGTAAATATTGATTAAGTGAAATATCAATAAAATCGATTGTATAAAAGGGTAATAAATAAATAAACAAATAAACAAACAATAACCATAAACATTTTCTCCATGGTTTTTCCCTTAAAACAAATCTAATACTATTGACAGTACAATGAGTTTTATAACTTGCTATATTTCACTTGTATTACAAATCGATTATAAAATCGGTATAAAGTTTTAATAAAGATAAATTCGAAAGAAAAGAAAACCGGGAAAAGAAAAGAAAGTGATATAAATCGATACTATCAATAAAGTTCTATGATTATCTTTCAGTGATTCTCTTTTAAGAAGATGAGGCGGTTTAGATATATGAATAGTGAATGAAGATGGAGATAATTCTATTTTAATAGTAAATATTTAGGTGAATTTGATCAGATTCTGTTTAGATTATGGATGAATTCATGTTTGTCTTGACAGATACGTCGATATACATAAGGACACTGTTTTGAATATTGAATAGATCTTCTTTAAGTACATTCAGTTGAAAAGGCATAAATAGAACGAAACTCGTCTCACGGATTCCGCTGTCAATCACCTATCAAATATACTAATAAATTGTGACATAACTACGTTGAGGCGACTCTCTTAGAATGCACGTATAGATGAAAAGACTGATCAATTGTTATACTGAATATCCATAATAGACAACTACAGACTCTTGCCAGTATTTTAATCGATAGCGTTAAACACGCAAAGAATGTGATTATGAAAGTCCTAATATTCACATATTACTACTCAATAGCTAATAAATAGTTATAAATCTTTTATGTTGATCATCATTACTAGTTGAAATCATGAGTCAATTGAAGCTAGACTACCATGGAAAACCTGAAAGCACTAGACGGTCATTTCTTCCTAGTATGAGACTCCTCAGGGGGGCGCATCGGACCCAGGACCCATCAATCTCGGGCGCCAGCTTCAATTGACTCATGATTTCAACTAGTGAAATTTCAAAAATCTCCACAAAACCCCTTCTGACATTAGTTATTATTTAAAAAGATAGGAATAACCTTAAAAATTAGACAGTACTCTTTTGTCATTTGAAGTTTAGCTATCAAACTGATTCAGCTCAATTAATGAAATTGTTCAAACACTATGCGAATTCCCGACTGAAACTTAAGTTTTCATCATGTTTCATAATGAGTAACATTAGTCGATGTGATAAAGTCGTTATTGGTTTAACATAAAAGACACAACAACAACAAATGAATTAATGAGTAGTCTGCTGTCAATGGAACAATGCTCTAGGAGTTCTTATGACATTTCAAGAAATATACCAAAACTTCAAACGCCAAATTACTTAATGCTTTTCAAGCATCCCTGTTACATTTACTTGTTATGATACACAAAACATGACTTAAAGTTATGTACACAAATTTTTAATTGGTTAGTAGATTAAGTTCAATTATTTTAGGTTAAAGACATTTTCCAGCAAAATACATCATATCAATTGATGAAGTAGTGAAACTTCATCAGTTGAGATGGCTGGGATATGTCGTACGTATGCCCAACCACCGAATGTAGGAGTAGGTTGGAAGAAGGCTAGGGGCGGCCAGATCAAAACATGGCATAAATCTATGAAGCCACTGACAAGTGGACTGAGTCATGTTGGTAGGTGTGGACTACCTGGTTGGGATCAGCGAGACGATAGAAACCGATGGTTACAGACTTTGAATGACATAGCTCAAAACCGTTTGCAATAACGTAGACGCATCCATTCTTTATGCTTTCCCAAATTCTAATCTTCTGAATTCTTTATGTCCTTTTTTTCTGTTTCCAAATTTATCTCACTGGATTATGCTACTTGAACATCTTCAAACCCTAATCTTTCCGAGTACTGCTTATACTTTTACTACTTCTGCCACTAGAGGATTCGAATCGATATTTGTATCTCTGTGCTAATGTGGTATGGCAACTTGAACTGATGTTCTTACGTACGTACGAAGTTCTCCATTGCTGCTGACTGACTGACTAACATCATATTATTCAATAATTGAAGTGAATATTAAGATAATAAGCATAATTTAAGTGAATTAATTGCCTGTTACTGAACCCAAGGATTTGATGATTTATTAAGAGAGCCGTTTAATATAATTGAATTTAATTTTGTAGACCGTATTCTACCAACGACAGTTGGAAATTCACTCTTGGACATATAAATAACGCGATAATTTAAATTTTTTTGAATAAACATCGTATCCATTGAACAAGTTAGTCGCTATTAGTAATTGAGCGAATAACGTATGAACCTATAGTTATTCAATTCAATTCTAAGTGTGAACAACAATAAAAACAACATACTGGGATGAATATACATCCAGTTAATGAGTCCCCGTTAGGACTAAGTGCCTATCCTGGGTTCTACTGTTAGCTGCAATACAAATATACCAATATATACTCTCAGTAAACTAATATTATGATGTAAATAAGCGAATAAACTTATATAGACTATTCACTGAGTAATTTATTTAATTAGTATAGAATTACATAATCTAATGAAAATTTCAACTCACTGTAGTTTAATATATTAAAAAAGGTATTGAATGTATTTCTTTCTTCCTTTAGTTTATTTACCGTGAGTGAGAGTTTTTCTATCCATAAAATAAATGAAATATTTACTGATGTTTAGATTTAATTCATCAAAAGACTTCATATATGAACCCATACATATGATACCATACTAAGATGAAATAACCGTCCAGTGCTTCCAGGTTTTCAATGATGGTTTAGCTTCAACTGACTCATGAATTCAACTATTAAAAAAATTACTACGATAAAATTCCCTTTCTGACTTTAATTTTTCATTGAATAATCACTCTGTTTTAAAACAAATAAAGTTGACAAAATCTACTGACAAATATATAGTGAGGAAATAATTGAACAATATGGCTGATTGCTTTGCTGTTGTAATTAAAAGTATTGGTGAACTACTCTCAAGAAACAAAAGAACTAGACATGAAAGATGTAGTTTAGTTAGTTGATTATTAAAAGAAGAAAATTCATTTAAGTTATTAGGGTTTTAAACTTCTCATTGTTGATATTATTATTTGCTATCGATCAGTCTCTTTAGATATATAGACAGCTTTTTTGGATACACATAGTATTACTATCAGTCACAAGCACTTTTAAACTAAATTCGATAGTGGCTATCATTAGAATACAGTATATGTATTTCATTTTATTTGGAATTTATTAACTGAATGTACCTAAATCACATCGACGATGCTCGCTCCCCATTGCACAAACTAGTGGGTACCTGAACCCAATGTTTCTGTAGATAACACGTTGAGAATTTAAAGTGAAAGGCATTGGGTTTAAGTCCTAGTATGAATATCAACACTGAGCTGGAGGGACATCCGACTGATGAGTCTTAAATAGAATGAAACTGGAGTCCTCAATTCCAATGACAGACACAACCCAACTCATTTTCATAACAGTACACTTGTAAACGACTCACGTTCCAGAAATCGTCTATCAGTGACCATTATTTACAGTAGGATATTATATAATACAAAA